TGGCAAGGCTGAAGCTACGGATAAACACACGCTACTTACATGTGAGATGGCACAAAGCATCTGGAAAGCCTTTGCAGACTACATCGGAGGACCAGTTTGGAATCAAGAAACAGAGCTAAGGGATTACCTTCTACAATGGTGGGTCACTTTTAAAAAAACATCTCTCCGTGGTCTACTCAAGCTAATCCTTCCTGGATGTATACTATGGATCTTATGGAAGACTTACAATAGATGCATTTATGAGGATCACAAACCAACAAAGGTGGGGATTATCATTGAAATCTAAAAACTAATTCAACACTGGTTTTGGTCGAACAAAAAAGCTCAGGCCATTGCTATTAAGGAAGAGATTGAAGCATTAAACCTCAAACCCTACCTTGCCAGAGAACATTGCAAAGAAAGAAGACACACCTGTTAGTCTCTTCTTCAACTGATCGAACGAGATGTGGGGTTAGAAGTTGACGCAGAGGGATAGAAGAATTCCTTCCTCTTTTGTCTCATCTACCTTTACTTCTTATTTTGTTGTTTTTGGCTTTTGCTTTCGGGGCTTCGGTATAGTCCTCCCCGAACTCGTATTCTTTCTTACTTTCGGGGCTCTGGTCTAGTCCTCCCCGAACGTGTACTTACTCGACTTTAATGATATTGGTAAGGGCGGCCTGGACCTTACCCCACTGACTTTGGTGGAGTTTTCGGGCTAATATATATATATATATATATATATATATATATATATATATATATATAATATATATATATATATATATATATATATTGATGGACAATAAATCCACCAAATGATCCGATTCAGAGAGCGGATCGTAAGAACAAAATTAAGAACGAGAGTTCGAGAACTGAGTATGTATTATTAGCTTGAGTTTTACCCTCTCGGGTCCCCTCTATTTATACATGGGCTCTAGATAATTAAGGTAATGCATATTCAATGGAGTCTATCCCGTCAATGGCGCGATCCTCTTTTTCCCGCTTCATCGACTGGGCTATGTTGAGGGATGGGGAGTTTACGAAGTCCACGTGGGCACTCCAGCGTGGATCTGGGCCGTTCCTTGGGTTCCGCGTGACGTTTGGGCACGATCTCCACAGATACGCAATCATGCCCTGCTGCTTCGCCTTCCCATTGTCAGTTAAAAACCGCCGCTGGACGCCACCTCTTTCTTTCGCCTTCTCCATCATCATTCATCTGCAATTCCGCTACTACCCGACCCGTTTTTCTTCCCTTCCAGGTCAGTTCCCTTTTTCGCCGTCATGATTGTTTCTGATTCTGATTCAGCCACCCCACCGTCTAATTCTCGCCAAGCCGATCATTCGGCCTCTGGCCGCACCACAAGCCACACTCAATCATCTCGGCCGTCGCCGTCGGCTGTGCCTAGCCAAAAACAGCGCCGGTTGAGGAAGCAATTTCCTTCCCCGCCCCTGGCAGACGAGGGCTCTAGGGTTGAATTGGACGAGAACATAATGGCGCTGTGCCATTGCCAGATTACTGACCGGGGGTTCGCTGATGCTACTGATATGGTTGGACCCTCAATCGAGGTTCTGAGACCTACCAAGACCCAGACTGCTCTAGACGCACCGTCGGGGTTCTTCACGGTCCATCTGGCATCCCTGAAGAAAGGGCTGCGCTTCCCCCTTCATCCGCTATTGATCGAATTCCTCAACTTGGTGGACCTCCTTCCTTGCCAACTGGTCCCCAACTCTCACCGGTATATCGCCGGTTACCTTGTCAGATGCAAGGATGTAGGGGTGAAGCCCACCCTAGACCACTTCTTGTTCACTTTTAAGCTGACCAAAGGCCACAAGGACTGGGCGTCCTATGCCAGCCTTTCCCAGAGGTACAGTAAGCTCTTCACCAGTGACAAGAAGGGGTCGACTAAGGACTGGAAGCCCTTTTTTGTTTTTGTCTCAACGGGGACCGAATCTCCTTTTACGGGTTCAGGGCGCCCCTCCTTCTGTCGTGTCCCATGTCCCCCATCTGACGCCACCCTCGCGCCCATTACCCGCCAACTTTGCAATAAGGGGGCCATGAACATCAAGGAAGTGGTGTCAGAGGAGTCCCTCGCCGGGCTGGGGTTTGAGTTCGTTCAAGACGAACTTCGCCACCAACCTGACCTGCTGAGGGACAACCCCAGAGGGTCTCGGCATGACCAGCTAAGGGACACTCCTAGGGGAGGTCTTGATTGCGGTCCTTTTGGTAATGCATTCCTCTTTCCTTTTTGCTAACACCCTAGTCTGTTTCCTTCAAAGGCTAACCATTAACCATTTTCACTGTTTTCAGTCGAGTCACCAGAGCTAGATGAAGAGATGGATGGCGATCTCCTACTCAGTCGCTTCACGGCAGGAAAGAAGAGGAAGAGAGAGACGAAGAGCCAAGGCAAGCGTTCTTCCTCCCACCGAGAGGAGAGTCCCCCTCGAGAGCCGACTGTGATTGTGGTGGAGGATCAGGATGATGTTGCCCTGTAAACGGGTACGCCGGCGGGTCATTCCCCCCCGCACTCTGCGATGCCGGGTGGCGACCTCGCTGGGTCGTCCCAAGGCGTCGCCTCGGAGCGACCTCCTTCGTCGCCCGCAGTGACCTAGGAGGTGGCGACCGGGGGTCGCTCAACGAGGCTCTGCATTCCTCCTCCGCCCCAAAGTCTAGGGGACGTGCAGCTAGAGACCCTGATCACACTGCCTGCAGAGGACCAAGCCCGCATCTCTGCCGGTTCTGAGGATGACCTTGACAACATGGTCCTTTTGAGGCTGAGTCAGGTACTTGTCTTGATCTCCTATGCACCACTCCTTCACTTCGCGTTCCTAACCTTCATGCTCTGGTGTAGGCCATGTTAGGGATGATTGAGGTGGTCGGCAGGAAACGGAGCCGACAAGCTGCCCTAGATGAAGCGATGAGGGCAGCGGAGGTCAGGCAGAAGGAGCTGCAAGAAGAGGTCGCCCGCCTCACAAGGGAGCTGGAGGAGAAAGAGAGTCGTTGTGCCGCGCTCGTTGTGGAGAAAGCTTCCCACGAGGATCGCTGCATCGCTCTTGAGGCGGACAAGGCCTCCTTGTCCTCAGAGGTAAAATCCGTCTCTGCTCGTGTGGTCGAGCTTGAAGGGGAGAAGTCTGACCTGATCCAGTAGTTGGAGATGGAGAGGAGCGACCGGGTCCACCACGCAAGGGAAGCGGTAGAATCCTTTAAGTCCTCTCCTGATTTCACGATGGTCGCGCTGGAGCGGATGGACAAGCTAACAGCCGCATGGCTCAAAACCGAACTTGGGGCTCAATGGATGGTCAATGAGGGGACCAAGTCCTTCAATTGTGGAATCTTTCGCGCCCAACAACTCTTCCGTGACAGGCTAGCTCAGCTCCCCAAAGAATTCTCTCTCCCCGACCTTGGCTTTCCCCCTCCCTGTCGCTCCTTGGCCGAGTTCGACCCCAGTCCTTACTTGGACGGAGGGAGCTCGAGCGCCTCTGAAGAAGAAGAAGAAGAAGAAGAAGGAGAGGAAGATGGTCAAGGTGACCAGAATCCGGGGGCTAGCTTAGCCACGTCCAAGGCGGGTGGAAACCCCAGCTCGAGCGCCTAACCTCCCTTGTTGCCCACTTTCAACTTTGTTAAACACTTATAACTTTTTTCCTCTAGAATGATTTGTCGTTTTGATACAATGCTCCCATGTTATTTGACTTGCTGGATTTACCATGTGCTTCCCTTTTTCGGTGTTTTTCTTCAGTACTCTCTTCTTTAGTTTAGCTGGCTAACATAGACGATTTTGTTGGTTCGGGCCCAACTTCTAACCCCGGCCTGATTGCCTGACCAAGCCCAATCACAAGATTGGCCAGCGTGCTGCCCAACTGGCCCAATGCCCCTTGCAGTCTCTGATTGGACCTTCGCGTGGCTCAAAGCTGCTTTATCGGTTCAGCTGCCTTGGGACTTGACTGTCTCTTCGGTTTCTTCACCCGGGCTTATTTATAAGCCCCCCTAGCCTTCATTCTGTTCCACCACCAAATATTTTCCCTTTCTCTATTTTTGCCATGTCTGAAGGAATTCCCATTTCTCTGAGTTTCTCCGACAGGCCGGCTCCTTCTTTGCCAGAGCCTGCCTTTTCCCCAAAGTCAGTCAATTCCAATGACAGGGGGGGCTAGACCCTTATGAATTCTGCCGCCGGTTGCCTCGCCGGCAATGGCCATCGGTGAAACCGCCGCCGATTCCCCCAAATCCTTATGAGGATTTCGGCGAGGCGTACAAGGCTCTCTCTGCCAACCGTCTGCCTGACTGGCGGATTGACTGGGATGCCCCATGCCCCCTCCATTCACTGCAATGCATGGCCTGGGAGAGCTTCCACGATGAGCACTTACCCCTCTTAGAGCATGAGTGCGCTTATTACACGAGTCTGGAGCGATGGACTAACGAAAGTCGCACCAGTTCACCAGTGAGGCCTAAAGATGAGGTTGTGGTGGGGGAAGAACAACTGGGTTCTTCCCTACCCCGCCCTACTGGTTGCTCACCTCCCCGGAAGGCCCCTTAGGCGATCTGGGGTAGCGCAAGCGGCTTCAGGGTCTGCATCCTCATCTAGGTGATGCCGATTGGGGCTCACAGAAGAGTGAGTTGCCTCTCGTCCTTCCCTGGCAGGAGAAGGACGGTGGGTTTTTGCCGAGGCTGGGGGCGACCACTCCTGTTCCATGATGGAGAAGAAAGGTGGTCGCTCTGGACGGCCGGTGATCGGAGTTCTGTCGGTCTATACAGCTGCAGAACTACCCTTCAACCTTGCCTGTTTCCCCTGGATCTTTCGTCCTTTCTGGCCTGAGCTGTTCACCAAGTTCTAGATTTTTCTTTTTCCTTGTGAGAGATGTATGGGAAAATACCCCTTCTTTTGGGAGTATGTAGAGATTGTTCTCAACTGTATTGTAGTAGACGCAAGAGCTTATCCTTGAAATGTAATAAACATTTTCATAAATATACTTTGATGTTACCTGTTTATTCACAGGTTCCATCTTCTTCTCTTTCGCATCTCATTCCAAGCGTTCAAGTTTCCTCAGACCTTAATCAGAGAATACCTTGCCTCTTTTGACTTAGCCATTTTCGGTTTATTTTAACCTTTGTGGCGTCACCATGCCCTCAAGGTTCCCTGGTCGCTCATGCGACCAGCAGATCTTATGTTCCAGACTTAGCCGTTTTCTCAGGCTTTCTCGCCACGGCGTCGCCCTCTAGTTAATCACGTCGCTTGACAGCCTTCAATCTTGGTCGCTTGGCAGGGTTCGACACTTCATCCCCTGTTGGGTATCTTAGCGCGAATCACCATTCAGCTTAGGCTTAGCGATCTCTTTTGGTCGCTCATTAGCGATCTCTTTTTTTTTCTTTTTTTTTTGAGAATTGAGGACAAGATATGCCAGAATGCTGGTTTTATTAAACTTTAAGAGAGAAATACGGCTGAAATACAATTTATTGGTAAAATTTAATAAGGTTGGCGGCATTCCATACTCGCTGAACGTCGCCTCCAGCCGGTGTTTGTAACCTAAACGTCCCATCGGCCAACACTTCCTTTATGATGTATGGCCCTTCAAAACTCTTCGCGAACTTTCCCCCATCGGTCGGCCGACTGACCTCCCTTTTCTTGAGGACCCAGTCACCTACTCTAAACTGCCTTGGTCGCACCCTCTGGTCATGGTACGACTTGACTTGTCGACGGTTGTTCTCCGCTCGTATGTACGCCCTTTCTCTTCGTTCATCAATGAGGTGCAGCTCTGCCCTTAAGTTTTCTTCATTCTCCTGGGCATCAAATGTCTCCACTCTATAACTTAGCAATGAGGTCTCCGCTGGAGCCCTCGCTTCAAATCCATATGTGAGTGAGAACGGAGTTTCACCTGTGGCCTTCCTCGGGGTAGTTCTGTAGGTCCACAAGATGTAAGGCAACTCCTCCACCCAGGTGCTTTTGCATTCCATTATCTTCTTCTTCAGGCCATCTACGATGGTACGATTAGTGTTCTCAACCTGCCCATTGGTCTGGGGGTACCCGACCGCAGCATAGCTGTGTTTTATGCCCCAGCTCTGTAGAAACTCATTAAACCCTCTAGCCTCAAACTGGGTTCCATTTTCGGTGATGATCTGCTGGGGTACCCCGAATCGGCACAAGATTTGCTTGGACACAAACTTCCTCATCTGTTCTTTAGTGATGGTCGGCACGGGGGCAGCCTCGACCCACTTGGTAAAGTAGTCGATCGCGACCACCAGATATGTATTGTTCCCTGTCCCCCGAGGCAAGATACCAACCAGATCAATACCCCAGCGAGAAAAGGGAATCGCTGTGCTGACCGAGGTATAATTCGTCGCTGGTCGCCCCGTCACCTTTTGGAATTCCTAGCAAACCTTGCATTTACGCACGTACTCTGCACAATCTCTGATAATCGTTGGCCAAAAATATCCTTGTAGGGTTACCTTTCTAGACATTGTGAAGGCTCCCTGATGTGCTGAGCATATCCCTTCATGGATTTCCTCCATTAACTTCTGCGCCTCGTCCGTTCTTAGGCACCTCAACAATGTACCATTGTACGATCGCTTGTACAGCCGACCGCACTCCAGCGTGTAGCTGGGTGCACGTCGTTTCACCACCTTTGCCGCGATTGGGTCGGTAGGTAGCGACCCGTCAAGGATATACATGGTAATCTCATCAATCCAATCCGGCTCTTTGAGTGTGATGACCAGCACTTGTCCGGGACTGATGCTTGGCTCGAGCAACTCTTCTTCTTGGGTCATTGCCTTAATATGATCTGGGGAATCCGGGCCAAGCTTTGACAAGATATCCGCCTCAACATTCTCTTCTCGAGAGACCTGCTCTATCCGGTACGCTTTAAACGCTTTAAGCAACTCCAGGGCGGTGTCTCTATACTTCATCATTCGCTTATCCTTGGCCTCAAACTCTCCGGTGACATGGCCTACTATTAGTTTGGAATCGCATCGGACTTGAATTTGTTCAGCTTGTAATGAAGCTGCCAGCCTCAAACCGCAAAGCAGCGCCTCATATTCAGCCTCATTGTTCGAGACTTTAAACCGGAATCTCACGGAGTAGTATGCTTTGAACCCTTCCGGTGATATCGCCACGACACCTCCCCCCGAAGCATCAGTCGCGGACGAACCATCAGTGTACACAGTCCACCAATTCCCTTCGGCTTCTTCTCCACTGGACTCCACCTCTCTTGCAGTGCATTCTACCACGAAATCTGCCAATTCTTGCCCCTTTATCGCCGGTCGTGGCTTAAACTCTATCTGAAAAGATCCCAGGAACACTCCCCACTTGCTGACCCGTGACGGGGCATTTGGGCTTCGAAGAAGTGTCCTGATAGGAATTTGAGATAACACATGGACCGGGTGGGCTTGAAAGTATGGGGTGAGCTTCTTCACAGTACACACCACCGCGAAGATGGTTTTTTCCATGTTTGTATATCTCAGCTCTGCCCCTCGCAACACCCTGGCCACATAGTACACATGTCGTTCCGTGCCCTCCTCCTCCCTCACTAGCACCGAGCTCACAGCTCGAGGAGAGATTCCTAAGTATAGGAATAGGGTCTCTCCGGGCTCTGGCTTCGAAAGCACCAGTGGGGAAAGGAGGTATAACTTCAACCCTTCAAAAGATCGTTGGCACTCTTCGGTCCAGATAAACCCTCTGTTCTTCTTAATGGTCTAAAAGAAAGGCGCCGCTCGATCAGCTATCTTCGACAAGAAGCGACTGAGAGCAGCAATCCTGCCGGTGAGCTGCTGGACTTCCTTCACATTTCGCGGAGGCTCCATCTCCAAAATTGCCTTCACCTTCTCTAGATTAGGCTCGATCCCTCTCCGGCTGACCATATGTCCTAGGAATTTGCCCCCCTGAACCCCTGAATGTACACTTCTTGGGGTTAAGGCGAAGCTGGAACTTCTTCATGATCTTAAAAACTTTCTCCAGGTCCCCGGCATGAGACTCCATCTGCTTGGACTTGACGATCATGTCATCCACATACGCTTCCATGCATCTACCTAGCACTGGCGCGAACAGTTTGTTGACCATCCGTGCATAGGTCACCCCAGCATTCTTCAAACCAAAGGGCATCACCTTGTAACAATACACCCCATTGGGGGTGATGAAAGCGGTCTTCTCTTCATCCGCCGCAGCCATCTTGATTTGATGATACCCACTGAATGTGTCCATGAAGCTCATCAGTTCACACCCTGCCGTCTCATCCACCAACTGATCAATGTTGGGCAGAGGGAAGGGGTCCATCGGGCAAGCTTTGTTTAGGTCGGTGTAGTCGACGCACATCCGCCAGGTGTTTCCTTTGGGTGCGAGGACTACATTCGCCAGCCAATCCGGGTAGCGGACTTCCCGGATATGCCCAATGGACTGCAGGGTCGTCACCTGCTTGGTGACAAATTCTCTCCTTTCCGAGGACAGGAAACGCTTCTTCTGTTTGACTGGCCTATAGACCGGGTCCACTGCCAACCTGTGGCAAATAATCTTCGGGTTGACCCCCAGCATGTCCTCTGGGCCCCAAGCGAATAACACTTTGAACGCTTGGAGGACCTCCAACAGCTTCTCCTTTAGTCTAAGCGGTAAGGTTTTACCTACCTTCACCTTCCGCTCTGGCTTGATCGGATCCAAAGAAACTTCTTCGACTTCTTCCGCTGGCTCAGCTCGAGGTCGCCCCTCTTCCCTCTAGATTGCAGCACAGATCGTGCTCACATTCTCGTCGACCCGTGCTTGGCTTTTGGTCGCCCTAACGTAGCACGACCGTGACAGGCTTTGATTCCCCTTTGCCACCCCCACCCCTGTGGGGGTGTTGAACTTCAGGCACAAGTGGACGGGGCAGATTACGCACTCCAGGTCCTCCAATCCTGGTCGCCCCAGAATCAAATGGTGTGCACAGTCGAGCTGCACTACCATGAATTCCATGTCGATCCAGAGTCGGTGGGTGCCATCTCCTACCCCAGCCTTCACCGTGATAGTTCCTTCAGCTTCGATGGTATCTCCTGTGAACCCTGACAGTGGCGTATGGATTGGTTTCAGGTCGCTTCGAGACAACCCCAATACATAACATTGACCGAGCTGCCCGTATCGACCAAAGTTCGGTGGACAACCACATTATTGATCTCTACCTTTATCACCAGAGCGTCCCTGTGAGGGCTGAGGACTGGTGGATAATCCTCGTCTGTGAAAATCAGAGGTTCCTTCTTCTTTCTCTTAGGTAGCGGCGGCCTTCGCACCTCGGCCAGGTACACCATGTTCTTCCACTTCTTCCGTGAGGATATCGAATCTCCTCCAGTGTTTCCTCTCATGATGAATCGACACCCTGGGTGTCGGCGACCCTGTCTTTCCTCCTCATCCAGGTCATCACAATCTCTCCCCAGATGTCGTCGTCCATCATCCTGCCCTTCTCCCGCTGTGATCGCTGCTGTGGGGGCTGCTGGTCTCCTCCAGGTCTGGTTACTTGAGGACGGTCGCTCCGAACGAGGAGGCGTTCCCCTGGCGATCAACTGATCCATCTCCTTCTTCAGCGTAACGCACTCCGACGTGTTGTGGGTGCTATTACGGTGGTACTCGCAGTATTTGGGTGCATCTTGCACACCATAGCTTTCCCGACTGTGAGGAGGGGCAGGCAACGACTCCACCGCATGGACTGGATGTCTATTCGCATGATATCCGGTGGGGTTCGGCCCCTTACCGTAATCCTTCCTCTTCTTTCCTTCTGCCACCGGTAGCCCACTTTTCTTCTCCTTCCGGACTGGTGGCTCATCGTCTTCCTCTTCCAACGCCAGGTATTTCGCCTGGCCAACATCTCCTGATAGGTCGAGAGAGGATTCCGTCGCAGCTCCTTGCGCACATCCCCTTGGGAGAGTGCAGCTTGGAGCATGGCGATCAGGGCTTGGTCGTCCACTCCTTGGACGTCCCTGGCCTCCATTTCCCACGTATTAATGAATTCCCGGAGCTGCTCTCCCTTCTAAATCTTCACATTGAGCAAGTGCGAGAAGGGAAGCTTTTGTCTTCGGCTGGATGCGAAATGCTCCAAGAACTTGTGGGCCAGGTCGCTCCACTTATCTATCGATCCCTTGGGTAACTTGTGGAACCACTCACAAGCCTGCCCTTCCAGTGTCGCCAGGAAGCATCGACACTTGATTTCTTCTGGGTATGCATACATGACCACGTTCGCCCCAAAGCAAGCAAGGTGGTCCTGGGGGTCAGTCGTCCCATTGTACGCTTTGATCTGGGGAGTCTTGAAATTGTCCGGGAGAGGACAAGACATTATCCTTCTGGAGAAGGGTGTTACCTCACTGAAGACCGCCTGACGATAGGGGTTTTGGGCTTCCAGCCGCTTCTCCAGTTGCTCGTACATTCTCCACAACTCGGCTGCACCCTTATCCTCAACCGTCCTTCGTCGCTCCTCAGAACCGATCTTGGAGGTCGCTGTGGACTCCCCTCTTTTCTCCTTGAGCGTATCCCTCAAGTCGCCCTTACGGGCCGACTGATGATTGAGTTTTTTTGGTAAGTCAACCTTCCCAATGAAGGGTTAGTTTTCTCCGAGTGTCGTGTCTCTCGAGGAGTGGACGAAGGGAATTAGCTAATTTTTCTAACTAGACGAAGGTTAGGACGGGTCTGAAAGTCTTCTCGATTTGATTTGAAAGTAAACTAAAGTACTAGGTTCTTTTTGAGAAAAAGAAAATAAATAGTACGGGTATAAGACTAGACTTTAGGCCAAGGCATCATCTGAGTTAACTACTGTTGTCACATATTTAATCAATAATTGGAATAATAATATTTCTTTCACAAATATTTCATTAACTTATCCTCTCTCAAGGCAACATTAATGTGTTCTAAAAAAGTTTGGCTTAATTAATTTTATATCCTCATAGACAAGGCAAAAACTAATTTTCAATAATTAATTAATTTTTCTCTCGACATAACTAATTAATTTAACAATAAAAATAATTCTAGAACAATTATTTCAACTATTAAATAAACATACAGAGTATATGCCCAAATTTAGCCAAGACCCTAATCTGGGTCCTAACCCATACTAGATATNCATCATCTGAGTTAACTACTGTTGTCACATATTTAATCAATAATTGGAATAATAATATTTCTGTCACAAATATTTCATTAACTTATCCTCTCTCAAGGCAACATTAATGTGTTCTAAAAAAGTTTGGCTTAATTAATTTTATATCCTCATAGACAAGGCAAAAACTAATTTTCAATAATTAATTAATTTTTCTCTCGACATAACTAATTAATTTAACAATAAAAATAATTCTAGAACAATTATTTCAACTATTAAATAAACATACAGAGTATATGCCCAAATTTAGCCAAGACCCTAATCTGGGTCCTAACCCATACTAGATATTAACAGAACATAAAAGAAAAGAACATTTTATTAAAATTGCAAGTATTAAAACTTACAACAGAGGGCAGAGTCGGAGCCACTTTGGGACAACCAGAACAAAACTAAACTAAAATATTAAAATATAACTGAGAAAAGAGCGGAGAATGGAGTTCCGGGCCTTAAAGACCCGGAAGAAGGCTTGGTTGGAATGAAGGGGCGAAGCCTTCCTTTTATAGGAGAAATTTTCGGTCCAGGCCTCCGACAGGCGTGGGCCTGAGGTGCAGGCGCGCGCCTGGAGAGGTAGTGCTCAAGACTGCGCCGATTTGGAGATGGAGTATCATTTTTTTTTTGTTTCTTCCTGCGTTTTTCTTTCTTTTCCTTGAGTCTTTCTTTGTTTTACTCTTCATACTCCGTATTTGATTATGATGATGATGGCTGTCCACTTGCTTCCTGCTGCCACAATTGGCCGGCCAGCCAGGTTGTCGCTGGGTTGGCTGGATTTTAACCCGGTCCGAAAATAATATCTAAAAATACAGTCTTGTTCAAAATTTTATTATGAACAACTTTTCCTTCTGCGCTGACTTCAAATTCCGTACCAATTTGGGTCAAAAGAATTAATTTGGAATCAAAACAACTTTTTTAACCTTTTCTTTTCAAATAATTTCTTTTTGGTGCTTTTTCAATCCGTTTGACCTCAAATCTTTCGACGGGGTGCATTTCCACATTTGAATACACATTTTTCACTTTAAGGATTTTCGCCATCTTTTGTCTCCTTGCTCCGTTGCATTCAATTTGCACAATCTTTTACCTTTTTGTACCACTTTTGACTCAATTTTTATTCTTTTTACAACAAGACATAACTTTTGCACACTTTTACAATTATGAATAAAAACTTATAAAAATCATTGAGAAATTGATTTGTTTAATCTAAAATTGGACCACAACACATTAAATATAGAGAAGATAAGTGCGTACAAAACGGACTTATCAAATTCCCCACACTTAAGCGTTGCTTTCCCTCAAGCAACAATTTACATCAACAAATGAAATTTTGGATCTAACACTTATTAACAAAAAGATTTTGGAAAAACTATTGACCACACTTTTAAACAGTTTGTTGCACAAAACTTTTGTACATTATTTAATCTTTACAAAAATAGAACTACTAGAAATAGCACTCTTTTTACAAAAAGTTAGCAAAAAATTTTTTATTTGTTTTTCTAAAAGATGCACATAAATTAATGTTATTGGCTAAATGTAAAAGTTGTCCATTTACAAACTTGGATACTAATGTTTAAAACAAAAGGATTGTAAGTGTTTTGTAATAACTGCAAAATAATTTAAGGTCAAAAATATGTACATTGAAAAACAAAATAAAAAAAAACTTTTCTGAAATTATCATTTATTCTTATGCAAAGAGTAAGTTTGAATTTTTTTGTAGAACATCACTTTGTAATGTTGACACAAGCAAAAACTTTGATCCTCATCCCATGACATAAAACCACGAGCTTTTTGGATTTTTATTCACTCAAAAACCTCATCACACGACATGGAACCGCATGCTTTTTGACACTCACTTCAATATAAGTCTCATCTTCTGACATAGAACCAAACGCTTTTTGACTTTTCAATTCACTCTAGAACTTGGTCTCACCAAAGTGTGTTCTTTGAAAATTTTTTTGTTCCAAAACTTACAATGCAATCATTGAAATATCAAATTTTTTTTTCAGAAAAGTATACTGCTCATACTCAATTTGAAGTATTGAAACAGCATCATTTTAAATGACAAGTTACAAATGTTTGACCTTAACCTATTTTACAAGTTAATATTTATTCACTAAATCAATGATTTATTTTCAACACATTAGTATCCAAATTTATTTATTTACAAAACTTATTAAACTTAGCCAATAAAAAGACTATATGTGCAATTTAAAGAAAAAAAATTTTAAAATTTTGGCTAATTTTGCATAAGGAGGCTATTAAAAATAATTCTACCTATGAAAAGAGTAAAAAGTGTAAAAGAATTTTAAAAGTATCAATAGTGATAACTAGACCGATTCAGAGTATTCGGGATCGGGCAGAATGCTGCCAATTAGGTGCTCTTAGGCTCACCCGAACAAACCTTTCCACAGAATGACCCAGTAGGAATGGTGGAACAAGTTCGGCTCCCGAAGGCGTCACCCTTTGTGTCCACTTAAGTACCATTCCAGCTTAGACAGTCATTCCGTACACGGTGCAGAGATCACTATTAATATACAAAATGCAACAAAGTGTATAAAAATATTTTCAAAAAGTTTTCCTACACAAATAAAAACATTCTGTACCAAACTCCAATCTCCCCACACTTAGGTTGACCTCGCCCTTGAGGTCATTAAGCGATAAAAACAAGAGTTTGGGACACAGACAGTTCTCAATTTTCTTTGGAAAATGTTTTTACAAAAATATTGTGCACAAAAGTTAGTCAATTTTCCTTTTTTTTTGAGTCAAAATGGTTCACCGACATTCCTAATTCCAAGCTCCACCTGCACACAAAAACACACAAAAACACGTAAAAAAGAAAAAGAAAAATAAAATAAAATTTATTCACTTGGGTTGCCTCCCAAGAAGCGCTTCTTTAACGTCACTAGCTTGACGTTAGCCCGTTTTTTACGGGACTTACCGATCCGAGAGTCATAAAGTTGGACCTTTTTGACTCTATTCTGATGCCACCTTTGTTTTATTTTTTTCCAGTCAAAGTCTAGGATCTTTGACTCATTCCTGTGGCGTGGTGGTAATAGGAAAAATGGAGGAGACTCGTCTTGGATGGGTGGTGATGGGAGTCTCCTCGGTGGATCCACATCATTGGCCTTTAGTACCAGGATATGACTTTCCAAGTCTTCAATGGGCTGACTTTCAGTTGCTGGCTCGATGATTACAACATGTCCTTCCCTTGAGTCTTCAGTGATAGTTTCTATAGACTGAATGGGTTCAGCATCACAAGGTATTTTTTCGTCTATAGATTCGTCAGACTCATCAGTATCGGAATCAAGGGGGTCGGTGGTGGGCTCGGATTTCTCCAGAACAGGTTCCTCTAGAGAAGTGTCTTCAACACATGTTAGGAGGACAGGTTCCTCCAACGTTTCTGGTGCAGCTGGTGAAGGCGGTTCTGAGACAGGACCCTCGGAAGGCTTCACCTCTTGTACGATTTGACTTTTTAGGCTTTCAGGAAGCATCACCACTGTACCTCGTGCAATCATTTCTGCAAGTGTTATCTTGTTTTCGATATACAGTGGTGATGGAGTTTGTGGGTATTCAAGAATTGAGACATTGTTGGATTCTGTCTCGGATTCTTCGTCCTCTTCTAGAACAACAATTTCCTCCATCTCTTCTTGTTGTTCCATAGCCTTCTTAAAATCCTCCAGCATCTTTTGCATATGCTCCCAATATTCGCGTTGTTTGTTATCTTTCTGGGTTTGGAGCAGTTGGCATTCTTCTTGGACTGTTTTGAGAAATCGTTCTCTCGCCTGGATTGCATCTTTGTTTGCTTTGATTTGCTCTTCACGAGTTAGAGAGTAATCACGGCAATAGGGTGGTTCAAATAATGAACACTCCATTACTAATGCTAGGTCAAAATAAAGTATTCTTTTCTCAGTCCACAAAATCTCTTCAATAACTGGATCTAGCTGGTCATCGTACATTGGCCCTTGTTCGTCATAATCATCTTGATCACCATGAGGTTCATAATAATCCCCACAGTTATCTTGGTATGGAGAATATCCAAAGCTCCGAGACGGGGTATCGTATGGTGATTCATCATGGTATGGATAATAATCAGGTCCATTATTAACTGAGTAGTCATCATAATAGGAATCCTGATGTGGATAATATGGTGGTGGTGGTGATGGTGGATAGGAATTGGACTGTTGGGAAAATGATGGTGGATGGTTGGGTGGTTGGTAGAAAGGAGGTGGATCGTAGTAATCATCTCGAAAATTCATTTTTAATGATTACTACGGGTGGCTTATGGAAAAGATTTGAGAAGATCGACCTAACCGGTCTTCACCCAAGCTAATTAAAAAAAATTCAACTAAAACCATGCCACTCCCCGACAACGGCGCCATTTGATGATCGAGTTTTTTCGTTAAGTCAACCTTCCCAATGAAGGGTTAGTTTTCTCCGAGTGTCGTGTCTCTCGAGGAGTGGACGAAGGGAATTAGCTAATTTTTCTAACTAGACGAAGGTTAGGACGGGTCTGAAAGTCTTCTCGATTTGATTTGAAAGTAAACTAAAGTACTAGGTTCTTTTTGAGAAAAAGAAAATAAATAGTACGGGTATAAGACTAGACTTTAGGCCAAGGCATCATCTGAGTTAACTACTGTTGTCACATATTTAATCAATAATTGGAATAATAATATTTCTGTCACAAATATTTCATTAACTTATCCTCTCTCAAGGCAACATTAATGTGTTCTAAAAAAGTTTGGCTTAATTAATTTTATATCCTCATAGACAAGGCAAAACCTAATTTTCAATAATTAATTAATTTTTCTCTTGACATAACTAATTAATTTAACAATAAAAATAATTCTAGAACAATTATTCCAACTATTAAATAAACATACAGAGTATATGCCCAAATTTAGCCAAGACCCTAATCTGGGTCCTAACCCATACTAGATATTAACAGAACATAAAAGAAAAGAACATTTTATTAAAATTGCAAGTATTAAAACTTACAACAGAGGGCAGAGTCGGAGCCACTTTGGGACAACCAGAACAAAACTAAACTAAAATATTAAAATATAACTGAGAAAAGAGCGGAGAATGGAGTTCCGGGCCTTAAAGACCCGGAAGAAGGCTTGGTTGGAATGAAGGGGCGAAGCCCTCTTTTTATAGGAGAAATTTTCGGTCCAGGCCTCCGACAGGCGTGGGCCTGAGATGCAGGCGCGCGCCTGGAGAGGTAGTGCTCAAGACTGCGCCGATTTGGAGATGGAGTATCATTTTTTTTTTGTTTCTTCCTGCGTTTTTCTTTCTTTTCCTTGAGTCTTTCTTTGTTTTACTCTTCATACTCCGTATTTGATTATGATGATGATGGCTGTCCACTTGCTTCCTGCTGCCACAATTGGCTGGCCAGCCAGGTTGCGCCACGTGGCAGCTCCGGGTTGGCTGGATTTTAACCCGGTCCGAAAATATTTTCTAAAATAACATTCTTGCTCAAAATTTTATTATGAACAACTTTTCCTTCTGCGCTGACTTCAAATTCTGAACCAATTTGGGTCAAAAGAATTAATTTGGAATCAAAACAACTTTTTTAACCTTTTCTTTTCAAACAATTTCTTTTTGGTGCTTTTTCAATCCGTTTGACCTCAAATCTTTCGACGGGGTGCATTCCCACATTTGAATACACATTTTTCACTTTAAGGATTTTTGCCATCTTTTGTCTCCTTGCTCCGTTGCATTCAATTTGCACAATCTTTTACCTTTTTGTACCACTTTTGACTCAATTTTTATTCTTTTTGCAACAAGACATAACTTTTGCATACTTTTGCAATTATGAATAAAAACTTATAAAAATCATTGAGAAATTGATTTGTTTAATCTAAAATTGGACCACAACACATTAAATATAGAGAAGATAAGTGTGTACAAAACGGACTTATCACCGACCGAGTGTCTTGCAACCGCTCGAACGCTGAGGTCCAGGGTTTCTTTGACTTGGGATCTCCCAAGCGGTCAAAAGCAGACATCCGCTCAAAAGAGGACGACTCGTCTTCTTCGTCCAATCTGGACAGCGCATCTTCCATCATAGCCTTCCCATTAGGCTTGGTCACCTTCTTCTTCTGGGACCGCCTTACTTTCTTCTTCTTTCCCTGGGAGCCAGTAGGTCCAGCCTTTCCGCCTGTGGGTCCTCCAGCCACATCTTCCACCACAATCTTACGATTGGGCGTCAGTACCGCCAGCACCTCCTTGAACTGCTCAGCCATGATTCCGACCCTCTGGATGAGGGCCTCGGCTTCCACCGTGGTGATGGGGGGGTGCCGGCCTCCGGTGGCGCTGTTTTCTCCCTGGTGGGGAGCTCTGATACCTGCGTTGGCATTGCTGCGTGTTTGCACCATCGCCTCTGTGGAGGTTTTCCTCTGAGTATAATTCTCGAGCTCTCAATGAGAGCACCAATTTGATGGACAATAAATCCACCAAATGATCTGATTCAGAGAGCGAATCGTAAGAACAAAATTAAAAACGAGAGTTCGAGAACTGAGTATGTATTATTAGCTTGGTTTAGCTTGAGTTTTACCCTCTCGGATCCCCTCTATTTATACATGGCCTCTAGATAATTAAGGTAATGCATATTCAATGGAGTCTATCCCGTCAATGGCACGATCCTCTTTTTCCGGCTTCATCTCCGACATTCCGTTCCGTCTCCTCCTCTGAGTGGACTCTGCCAACCGTTCCTGGACTGGAATTGGCCAGGCTTAACTCCATGGGCCAATCAGATGGCGGACCAAGAACGTAATATGAATCAGGAAGATATAATCACTCGATAATATTCTTTGATTGAGTATTGAATTATCTCATGCTTTACAATGGCGGGTTCTCCCCCTTTTTATAGTATTTCTCATATTATAATTAAAATTATACAAAATGAAAAGGATTATGGAGATCGTGGGGTTGTGATTCCCTCTTTTCCGGTCTCGTTCTCTTCCCACTCCGTCTATGACCCAATGACGTGGGCCACGTGTCCCACTCCTTTCTTGGACTGGGTCACCTTAATTTATTCCATGACTGGGCAGTCTTTCTCTATCTGCCATATGCACACTAATGGGCTCGGCCCATTATTTCCATCTGACTTTATACCTTTTGGGTTATTATAGACCTTTATTTGGGCCTGAAGTCGGGTCTACCAGACCCGATATCCATCACAAGCCCCCTAGTTTTCTAGCGACGTGTCGCTAGAAAACTAATGATGAGCCGCCTTCGGTCTTCGTGTCGGATTAGAAACGTCGCACTCGAGTACCTCGGGTCCACCCTTTCAACGGATAAAAACCCCTTCTGGTCTCGTCTTCTTCCTCTCGCTGCTGAATCTTAACCCGACCCGAATTCCGAATGCAATTTCCCCAAATCTTTGTCCCTTTTTCCAAAATGGCTCCTACGAATCCTGAAACCTGGACCCATGGACCCTCCATTATCAAGGAGAACGAACTTCGAGAGGTGGCCGGTCTCCTGGGCAAGGGCTTCCGGGTCCACCACCCTGATACCGTTGGGGGATCAGTTTATCCTACAATCCAAACCCCCAAAAATATATGGTCATGCAGTACCACTCCGTGGAAAATGGGTTTAGGTTGCCCCTCCACGGTCTGCTTCGCGACCTCTGCCTCCATTTCGGATTTGCTCCGGGTCAATTGACTGCCAACGCGCACAAGTATGTCGCGTCCTACATCTTGCGGTGCTGTGCCCTGGGCAGAACCCCAAAATTGGATGAATTCCTTCTCCTCTTCAGTATCGGTGGTTTCCCCTTCTACAGCCTATATCCCCACAACCATTTCCCAATTTTTGAGAAGGTTGAGTTCAAGCATGAAAAATGGTCACTGAGATACTTCGTTATTGAGTTCCCGACTCACAGCCCCCTTGATCTACCGGGTGTTGTCCTCCGCCGTTCCATTTCCCGGACGAAATTTGCTGCAGCAGAATTAGCGGAGGGAGTGTACAACGCCTTGAGAGAAAAAGAAGGTTTAATTTCACACCACTCCCTTCAAGACGCCCAACTGTACAAGAAGGCGGGTTTTTACTACCCCTGGGTCCTGACCCGTTTCCATTTGAAGGCGTGCCTTCTCCTGAGAAATCGAAGGCTCCTTCTTCTGCAGAGTCCGACCCGGCTATGAGCTCCTCCGGGGACCAATTCCAAGGCAACTTCACTACCCTAGCTATTCGCAAGCCGGCTGCTGCCCTAGAGGTTACTCCCATCTCTGCCATCCCCAGGCTTAGGAGGCCCACTCCGTCCCAGAAACGGCCAAGGGAGGGAGTCAGTGATGATGATTTCCTGCCTAAGAAGAATAAGGGTGATAGTACCTCTGTTTCGCCTAGCCCCCTGTCAACTTCTTCTGGCCCTCAGAACACCACTTCTGTTGCTGCACCCGGAAGTTTAGAGCTGGAGCTACCCAACCCAGAGAGCTTGGACCATGAAGCAGATGAACTCCTAGACCAAGCACCACTCAGAAAACCAGCGGTGCCGCCTCAGCCTGATGCAAACAATCCCCTCCCTCAAACTGCATATGCTCCCCAAGAACTGGAGGAAGAAGTTGAGGAGCAGGAAGAACCAGAGTCTCCTCCTGCAGCAGAGAAGGAGATCAAAATGCAGGAAGAGCTGGACGCCCCCTCCTCGGTGGAGGAAGAAGCTGTAGAGCAAAAAGATGTTGAGGTTCCACCAGAGACGGGGAGAGAGACTGAGACGCAGCAGAATCAGGAGGAGCAGCGGGAACCGGAGGAACGACATCCCGCCACCGCACCTTCGGCCGTCAGTCTCCCCATCCGGCGCAAGTTCACGCCACAAACTTATCCTGTTTTTGCAGAGGGTTGGGCAGGCTTCTCCCGTGGTTTGAGGTCCTTACAGGCTTCCCATTGGACTATCCAGGCAAACTTGGAGAAGATGAGGGAATCAGTGCAGGAGCCTGCGATTCCCCAGGCTCGCCCCGACTTGCTTGCCCTCAATGCTCTGCACTTCATGGAGCAGGTACTCTTTCTTTTTCAAAACTTTCTTTATCTCCTTTTAGGTTAGTTCTTTTCTTTGACTTCCCTTTCCTTCTTTTAGGCCTAGCAATCACTCCTCACTTTGACTGAGGAGTACCTGGGTGGAGCATCAGGGAACTATCGGGCTGTAGTGCTCCTGAAGGAGAAGGAATTGGCTGCCAAGGCTTTACAACAGAAGGTTGACTCCCTGGAACAACAAGTCCAGGTCCTACAGGAAGAGAATACCCGACTCAAGGCAGATGGCTCAACGGAACTAGCAGCTGAAAGGTCCAGGGTCCAATCCTTACAAGAGCAGATTGTTATCTACCAAAAAGGAACCCAGGACCTAGAAGCGCAGTTTGACAGGCTCCGGGCACAAATCTCCATCCTGGAATCAAGGGCCTCAGCTTCAGAAGACAAAGTGGGAAATCTGGAAGCCAGATTGGTTGAAAAAGAGTCCCGGATCTTTGAGCTGGAGAATTCCCTCCAAGAGGCCAAGCATGAGGGTTCCCGTTTTAACGAATTCACACTGAAACAGATGGAAGCAAAACGGCTTACCCTCGAGAAACTAAAGGAAGAGAGACAGACTGCAAGCGAGCTCCGGTCAAAGATGGGTGAACTGGAGAAGACAATTGCCGCCCATCAAGAGGAGGTTGCAACCCTGACTGCCCGTGCTGAATCCCTTTATGAAGAAGGGAAATTTGACATGCAACAATGCATCTACGAGGCAGTCCAGAGTGGTATCCCGGAAAACCGATCCTTGGATGATTTCATCTCTTACTATGGGTTACCTCTTCCTCTTTCTCCCCCAGCTTCTCGTGCAGATCCGGGGCCTTGACTTTATCCCTCTCTGTTGACTTTTGTCTTTTGCTCTGTGACATCTAGATGTAGTAAATTGATAACACTTGATGTATTTTTGTCCTCATAGACTCCTTTCATTAATCTGACTATTTCCCTTTTAGAACTCTTATTCCGCCCTGGGACTTAGCAGGTTTTTTTTATCCGCCTAGGCTTTGGGCTTAACTGCATTTACAAAGTACTGTTCTTCTTGTTTACCATTGCGCTAAGTGACTGGCCCACCTTAATTACGCCGGGCCCAATTCACCCTAGCCCAATAATAAGATGACGCAACCCTAGCTCTCCTCGGGAATCCGCAACTGCTTCCCAATCGGATAAGCACTTTGACTCCGCGTCCCTTGCACTTCTCCTCTGGGATTACTCGCCTATTTAAGGGACTAGGCTGAACCCCTCCATCATCACAATCAGCTTCTCAACATGGCTAATAACGCCAACAAAGTTGTCTTTATTGATCTTACTATTTCCGATTCTTCTTCTGACTCTTCTTCTGGGCCTTCTCTTGCTTCTGAACAATCGGTGACTTCTCCCTTACCCAGGGAGGAGAATCATCCTCATCTTCCCCAACAGGAACCAGGGGGTATTTGCCCGGGTTCCGGCATGCTTCCAAACGAGGCCAGGACGGAAGTTTCTTCCGGCTGTCCTGGCACATCTCGTCCGCAGAAAAGACGCAATCCTCATTCAGGAGCTTCCCGGTTGGTCTCTGGAGCGAGGCCTTCCTCCCAGGGTTCTCCCTCCCCTCAGCAGTCGTATGGACGTCAACCTGAGGAGTGGGGGGACTACGACATGGGGGGACACAGGCTCCCATTTATACGCAGGGAGAAGGATGGGACCTTCCGGGATCCGCCTCCTCCTCCCGTATAAGCGGAAATAGGCTTGGAGTCCTTCTCTCATGCCCTAGCGCCCTCTCTGTCCGCCTTCATGGGAATGACTGGATGGTATCCACGGGGATGGCTTTTAATCCCCAACCCGTTGGTACCACTCTGCTTCTTGTGAATGTCATGAAGTGTCTTCGGCGGACACTCTCCACACCTTCCTGCTCTGGGATTCTTTTCTGGTTCAGGCAGAGGAACCGCACTCCTTCAGATTTCGGAAGTGCCGATCCGCCCTGCCTTCAACTTTTTCCCGTAGTAGGATAGCAGTAGATCAGGGACAAAGTTCATTACTGTAACCCAAAAGAATGTAACCTTCCATTTGAGTTATTTAATGAAAGTCTTTATCTCCTGTCTCTTTTTTGTTTTGTTTTTAGATCAGGGATAAGGCCCATTACTGTAACCCAAAAGAATGTAATCTTCTGTTTGAGCTATTTAATGGAAAAACCTTTACCTCCTGCCATTTAATATAATTTTGTTGCACGTGCCGTCATCTGCATGAAGTAGAAATCTAAGTTTATTTAACTCCTTACCTTCCACGGATGACGTCTCTCTCTAAGCGCAGATGGGCCCAATTAATTAGCCCATGCACTTAAGTGGTGAGAAACCCCTAGTCAAACATTGGAAATCTTCGACCGCTTCCTTCGCCAATCGCTTAGTCTTTCACGTCTTCCAACCGCATTCATCACTTCCCAACTATCCCTTCCCCTTTGACTATAAATGGGAAAGGATAATTAGCTGCTAGTCCATCCCTTTCTGACTTCTTCGCCATGGCAAGTAAGTCTGAGAGTAAAGTCATCATCGACTTAACCCTCTCCGGGACATCTTCTTCTTCGGATGATGATTTCTCCGTCTCTCCAGCCCAATCCAACGACATGGCTGGGTTGAGTCCTAGCGAGTTCTTAACACTCTATCCGGCCCCTCGCCTTCCTGCACCGTCCCCTCCTAGTCCACCCAGGCTTCCATCTAGGAGGATAGACTGGGACTCTATGACCCTCCAAGACTTCGCCTTGTACCGGAGAATGTGCAGGGATAAACTCGGACGCTCTTTGCCAATTGTCGAGGCGGAACCTTCATGTGAAAGCCGAACTGCTTCCCCAAACCTGCTGAAGTCTTCCAACAATGGTTCTTCATTGAAGGGAGCAGCTCCCCGTCCTGGGACATGGGAAGACTATGACATATGGGAAACTGCTGATTCATCAACGTGTCCCTCGTCAAAGAGAAGGAGCCCATGGAAGGGTCCCCCACCTCCTTCTTGTTGAATGCATGGATGCAATAGGCCCTCCTTCAGTTCCTAGCCCCCTGCAAATAAAATTTCTTTTCTTTGTTTTGTATCAAGAGGCATTCACTTGTTTGGTCCAGGAGTTTTCCCTGCATCCCAAACTAAGGAATGTTCCTTAGTTTCAGAGTAGGAAATATCGTTGTAATTCAAAGATATAACCTCCGAATTAGCAATCGATGAACTCCCTCAATTTCTTTTCTTGTTTATCTTACTAAGAACCTTTATTGTGAACCAAAAAATGTAAACTTTGGCCCATCAATATGGTCCTTAATAGTCATTTCTTTGCACCTCTTCGAATGCAAGTACATAATTCATTCTCTATATAAAATCTCATCTCCCGGGGTTTGGGCATTCCAGGGGCACTTATCTCATCTGCCCCTTGCCTCCCCTTCCTCCGGGTTAAGGCATAATCTTATCAACCTTGGATCAGTTGAGCTCCAACCCTCGAAGTTTGTTTGCTCGGTTGATCTATGCTAGTGGAATACTAAGCTTCAGCCCTCGAAGTCTGCTTGCTATTCTTCCTGAATTCCAGGTTGTAATGGCCCTCAAAGTCCAATCCCAACCCTTCCTTCATTTTCGACGGAGGCATAAACTTCTCTACCTCCGGGGGG